GGCGGACAAACTAAGTGGCGGACAATGAGAGGCGGACACGTGAGCGGCAGACACGTGAGTGACAGACACGTGAGTAGCAGATATGAGAGGCGGACATGTGAGAGACAGACACGTGAGCGGCGGACAATGAGCGGTAGACAATGAGCGGCGGACCTGTGAGTGGTGGACACGTGAGCGGTGGACAAACTAAGTGGCGTTGTTACGAACTCGATTCCATCGTCGGAGCATGGAGCAGCGACGTCAATGCCATCTGTGAGTTGGCTCCCGAAACCCCCACAAAATGGACGACGCCATCTAGTGGTTGCAGGATGATACCAGCATGAGGCGCTAGATTCCTGTCCTAGTCAGCTCGAGAGGTAGCTGGTGCAGACCTCTGGTGAGGTGGCGCCTAGAAAATCAGCGCCATCTATTGTAGGAGGAGTTGTATGTTTATGTTAGAGTCCGTAAGTGGTATTTCCTTGTGTCCCATGTACTGGCCAATTTACTGATGACGTGTCTGAATCCACAAAGGCGACGTAGGGCTGCTGTGGTACGAGTTCCTCTAGCAAAGAACCCGGTTGCCACCCATTGTGGCCATAACAGGCAGACACGTGAGCGGCGGACAATCCGAGCGATGGACAATGAGCGGCGAACATGTGAGCGGCAGACATGTGAGCGGCGAACGTGTGAGCGGCAGACATGTGAGCGGCGAACGTGTGAGCGGCGAACGTGTGAGCGGCGAACGTGTGAGCGGCAGACATGTAACACGGGGTGGAGGAAATAGCTCTCTTTAGTCCATTATTCTACCCCTAGTTAACTATCTTAACAGGGGGGGGGGGGGAATAGCTCTGTCTGATGTCTGCTGTCGAATCCTCCCGAACCTACATTTCCCTGGGTATATATGGGAAAACTTGGAGCTAAACCCCGCCCACCAGTAAGGTAGCCTCAGGCTCTCTACCTATAACTTAGGCAGCGGTGTGTCTGAAGGACACACAGCCGGGGTGTGTCTGAAGGGGCTTGCTGGGGCTGGCTGGGGTGTGTCTGAAGGACACACCCCAGCCAGCCGTCTGCAATTATCAGCTTTGCGGAAGGCAAGGTTACCTGACCTGACCTGACCTGACCCTTGGTTAATCTGTGGTCATTATTCTAAAAGGTGAGATCCCTTTAATTCCTATAGACCGGCATACCTGGTGTTCTCAAATTCTACTGTTTGACTGACTGTTGTTTGTGAATATCAACTAACACATTTATAGTGTTACAGACACATGAACGCCAGACAGGAGGGTTGCCAAAAGTTTCCAAACTTCGGGAGTAACGGGACATTAATTTAGAATAAGTGATATTAATGTGTAGTGGAGCTACATTGATTTTGGGAGAGGTATGAAAGATTTATTTGGATAGAGCTTGGTGAGGCGATCCAGAGGATAACCCCATAAGCGTATATCAGGACAATTATCTGCCAAAATGGCAAACAACCTAACAACCCCGGTCACCGCCTTGACCGCTACCTAAGAGAATGTGCCCTTCAGATATATTGTATCTGAAGGGTATTTGCTTATTTTTTTGTTTATTCTGCCTAGAGGGGTGAGTTTACTGGGCAGCGCCACTCATCCTGTGAGTGGACATACCGCCATAGCAACACGTAGAGCACTTCTCAATAGGAAGAAAACCCGCTGGGTTGTTCCTCCTGTCACGTGTACTGGGTTGTCCCTCCTGTCGCGTGTACTGGGTTGTTCCTCCTGTCGCGTGTGCTGGGTTGTTCCTCCTGTCGCGTGTGTTGGGTTGTTCCTCCTGTCGCGTGTGCTGGGTTGTTCCTCCTGTCACGTGTGTTGGGTTGTTCCTCCTGTCGCGTGTGCTGGGTTGTTCCTCCTGTCGCGTGTGTTGGGTTGTTCCTCCTGTCGCGTGTGCTGGGTTGTTCCTCCTGTCGCGTGTGCTGGGTTGTTCCTCCTGTCGCGTGTGCTGGGTTGTTCCTCCTGTCGCGTGTGCTGGGTTGTTCCTCCTGTCGCGTGTGCTGGGTTGTTCCTCCTGTCGCGTGTGCTGGGTTGTTCCTCCTGTCACATTATTTTACTGTTCTTAAACATGTCCCATATATAACAGGGGAGGCTAAAATCCCAGGCAACGGTTATTACTAAAATTAAGTAAGTAAACTAATTAGTGACCACATTGGGCAGTATAGTGATTGAAAATTATATTACATAACATAAAATGTTATATAAAAATAGTTATTATTACATTAGTTAGGTTAGGAATTTAAATATAAACCACAAGGAAAAAGAGACAGAATGATGTGTTGTTATTGACTTAATTATAAATTATCTAATCATTTTGAAATATTTTCACAGGTAGAGGAGATCAGTTCTCAACTCTTGTGACATGTTAATCTTCTCCGTTAGGCACAGATGTTAACAACAGACTGTCTGTTAGTCACATGCAGATGTTAACAACAGACTGTTAGCCACATACAGATGTTAACAACAGACTGTTAGCCACATACAGATGTTAACAGCAGACTGTTAGCACATACAGATGTTAACAACAGACTGTTAGCCACATACAGATGTTAACAACAGACTGTTAGTCACATGCAGATGTTAACAACAGACTGTTAGCCACATACAGATGTTAACAACAGACTGTTAGCCACATACAGATGTTAACAACATACTGTTAGCCACATACAGATGCTAAGAACAGACTGTCTGTTAGTCACAGATGTTAACAGCAGACTGTTAACCACATACAGAAGTTAACAACAGACTGTCTGTTAGCTACATTCAGATGGTAACAACAGACTTTCTGTTAGCCACATACAGTCTATTAACAACAGACTGACTGGAGACTGACACCAACCCAACCACATCTATTTGTTCTCACAATATTTATTAATAAATTATTCAATTGAGGAAACCAACTAGTTAATAATTAAGGCTAGTTGAAGGGTGTTTGACATAATACTCACCATGCAGCAACTGAAGCAAATATTCCAAAGTGCTATACCGTGTAATACAACCCATTAGCAATGTTCCACAGCGTCACATCATACAACGCTAATCATAATATATATTAAACAGTATCATACCCTGCAAAACACATTCCAGATTTTCGAACCTTGAAACACAACTCATTAAGTGTACTCCAAAGTATTGTACTATATTGTTTTTGTATTGTACAAAAATGGGTGATATTGGAGAATATACAAATGGATGAATACCTTTAACAAAGGGAATATTAAATAATGGATAGAAATATAATATAATTAAAACATTCACAATAAAATAAGACCTTAGTATGTACTTGTGTGGAAATCAGCTTGTGGAGTTATTGAAAAAATTACTAAGCAATACAAAAGATCGCTGAATAACGTGTATATTTCTTTTTTGTTTTTATTAATTTATATATACAAGAGTTCATACAGTCTTGTACAGCCACTAGCACGCATAGCGTTTCATGCAAGTTCTTAATCCAATTTTTTCCGGGAATACGATCCGCCAAGTCGTTTAACAACCGGCTGTTACTTGATTAATACATGATCAATATATCAGAGCATCACGTTATGCAACACAAAGTGACGAAAAAACCGATGACGGAATATGTATTGTTTGCCCGATCAGTGTTGTAAACGTTTTTCGAAGCAAATAACTTTTCCGTTTAACATTTATCACAGAGCGGCGGATGTTGAGCCTATGACACTCCTCAGACAGCAACACATCACACTCATAATACCTACATGCATTTGCCATATTTTAGTGTGTCTCTCTCTCTCTCTCTCTCTCTCTCTCTCTCTCTCTCTCTCTCTCTCTCTCTCTCTCTCTCTCTCTCTCTCTCTCTCTCTCTCTCTCTCTCTCTCTCTCTCTCTCTCTCTCTCTCTCTCTCTCTCTCTCTCTCTCTCTCTCTCTCTCTCGTAATATTACGTACCGAACACTGGGGTGTAATTAGGTGTTGATACCATTATTTCCATAAAGTATATAAACTATTTTCGCAAATGTAAATGGTTGAAAAACAATTTTAACCTGAAAAATGATTTTGTGTTGATGATGAGTGAGGTGGGAGCGATCATTATGTGTGTGACGTCACGTCCTTTGTCTCGACAGCCAAACAACAATACGTAAATCCAAATTTGTATTCAGGTAAAATGGTATTGTATTTTTAAATAGTTCAGGTATTCAGGTAAAATGTTCATACGTTATATAGTTTACATAAAAGGTCAATAAACTCCTAAGGAAACAAATACAACCATCTCTCTCTTTCACTAATTTACATTTATGAATTTTTATTCACTCTCCTACACTATTTTCTTCTCGATATCAGTGTGAATTATATAAACCGATGTGTGGTGCTTTGACCAATGAGACTCTTCGTTACAAACAGCCAATTCATTCATAATCTAACCTACTACTACGACAACAACAAATGCGGCGTTGCCATTTTGCACTTCCAAGAAACTGAGAAGGGAATACCCTTGGATGAGGTACCAGCACTGAGGTGCTGGAGTCTGGATGAGGTACCAGCACTGAGATGATGGAGTCTGGATGAGGTACCAGCACTGAGATGCTGGAGTCTGGATGAGGTGCTGGAGTCTGGATGAGGTACCAGCACTGAGGTGCTGGAGTCTGGATGAGGTACCAGCACTGAGGTGCTGGAGTCTGGATGAGGTACCAGCACTGAGATGCTGGAGTCTGGATGAGGTACCAGCACTGAGATGCTGGAGTCTGGATGAGGTACCAGCACTGAGATGCTGGAGTCTGGATGAGGTACCAGCACTGAGATGCTGGAGTCTGGATGAGGTACCAGCACTGAGATGCTGGAGTCTGGATGATGTACCAGCACTGAGATGCTGGAGTCTGGATGAGGTACCAGCACTGAGATGATGGAGTCTGGATGAGGTACCAGCACCAGTACCAGTACTGAGGTGGATGCAGTAAGGTGGTAGAGAGGAAAGGGCAGCAGCCACACAGCAGTGATGTTGGCCAGGAAAGAGAGGAATGGTTGTAGGGGGGGAAGATAACTCACGTGTTACTGACCTTGAGAGTAGAGAGCAGGAAGCAGGTGACGCCAGTCAAGAGCCAGATGGTAGTGAAGAGGAGCCAGCAGGTGGAACAGGATAGTCCCAGCAGGTGCAGGAGGGAGCAGAGAGCAGCGCTCACGCCTCCACATAGTAGCACGTCCCCGGCCTCGTCCAGCGTCACCACCATCGTCGTTAGCACACCTGAGTGCAGCACCTGCCGAGGAAACTCCCAGTTACTTCTTCCTATTGTATTGACTCTCACCAAAGTAAACTCTGAAGATTTTACTCAAGCTCCGAGCCACTTAAAGTGTTCCGAGCCACCTAAAGTGTTCCTTTATCTATCAATATTTTCCATTATAGATCGTACTGAACCAAGGAAAAGGTAAAATAATAATCAGGAAAACACTCAGTCAGTTTGACTATACAGGAACCAAGGAAGAAAATAGCGAGGAAAATATCATATAAATTTGGTGATACAAATACAAATACAAAATACAAAAACAAATATTTATTCAGGTAAAGTACATACATACAAGGTGAAATACCAAAGTTGATGAATTTATAGATGGAGCTAGTACATACAATGCCAAAAGCCACTATTATGCAAAGCGTTTCGGGCAAGAAAAACACTAAAACTAAAACTTAATACTAATTGAGATTAAAGTATAAATTGTGTATAGAAAAAAATCAGAAAAAAATGAACAAAAGGGGGGGGGGGGGAAACATGGCAGAAAAAAAGCAAAAATGCAATTTGTTCAACAAAGAGCATTGTTTAAAATCGTAGACCTGGGTTGACATTTAGGGGTGAGATAGGTTACATTGAGTTTATTAGGTGGTACTTAGTTTTTATTTTAAACTGGTTGGGAGAGGTACAGTCTTTAACATAATTGGGAAGGTCATTCCACATTTTGGGTCCCTTGATTTGTAAAGCATTTCTAGTTTGACTAAGTCGTACTCTTGGAATATCAAATAGGTATTTGTTTCTGATGTGGTGCTCATGGGATCTGTTACAATCTTCTAGGAAGATTTTAAGGTCAGGACTGACATTACAGTTCAGCGTTTTATATATAAATATATATATATATATATATATATATATACATATATATATATATATATATATATATATATATATATATATATATATATATATATATATATAAGGCAGGTCCTAGTCAACAACGGCTTCTCCAATGGTTTCGTCGAAGACATCATAAGAAGGAAAGTGAAAAGCCATGCAACCTCTGAAGAGACAACTAACACAACACCTATACCCCCTATTAGACTATTTTACAGGAACTTCTTTTCCACAGCTCATAAAACGGAGGAAAGGGTCCTGAAAGATATTGTTAATAGAAACGTTATCCCTACAGACAAAAATCAGAGGATACAACTGACGATTTACTATAAAACCAGAAAAACGGCCAGCCTACTCATGAGAAACTCTCCAGACATAAAACAGAACGCTTTAAAAGAGACTAACGTCGTCTATGCCTTCAAATGCCCTCTTGGGGACTGTAAGCTCCAAAAACCCAGTATATAGGCAAGACAACAACATCTCTTTCTAGGCGTTTAACGATGCATAAGCAACAGGGCTCCATTAAGGAACATATAATCTCTTCCCACAACCAAACCATCGCCAGAGAAATCCTAGTAAACAACACAGAAATCATCGATAGATACAGCGATAGCAGGCGGCTTGACGTTTGCGAGGCACTACACATCAAGAAGTCAACACCAGCAATCAACAGCCAATTAATGCACAACTATATTCTACCCACCTCAAGACTCCACTCCAATATAGAAGCATCAAGAAATATGGACCAATAGACTTTCTACAAACACTTCTATTCAATATCCATTGTTTCGTGTTCTATCTTGTGTTGATGAAATTAATACCCTATTAATACCACCTCTTGTTCTGTCTTGTGTTGATGAAATTAATACCCTATTAATGCCACCTCACCCCATCCACCTCACTCAAATGTAGATATAAAATCGGAGATGCGTAAGTTCTATTCACCACCATTTGGTCCGGGAGACATCTCCCGTCACGCAGGGTGCAGTCGAACCTCCACAGATCTCCAGTATCATCTATTGATACTGGTGATGGCTCAAAAGGGCCACCACTTACGAGCTATTCATGCCTGTGCCACCTTTTGGGTGGCTTCATCTTCATCTTAACACATTCACAAGGGAGACATCTCCCGTCATGCAGGGTGCATTCGCACCGCCACAGATCTCCAGTATCAGCTCTTGATACTGGTAATGGCTTAAAATGGCCACCACTTACGAGCTATTCATGCCTGTGCCACCTTTTGGGTGGCTTCATCTTCATCTTAACACATTCACAAGGGAGACATCTCCCGTCATGCAGGGTGCATTCGCACCTCCACAGATCTCCAGTATCAGCTCCTGATACTGGTAATGGCTTAAAATGGCCATCCACTTACGGGCTATTTATGCCCGTGCCATCTTTTGGGTGGCTTCATCTTCATCTTAACACACTCACAAGG